TTCCAACCGTTTGTTGCACCTGCGAATGCCAATGCCGGTGTAGTTTTACTTTGTTTCCAATATATTCTGTGCCTGCCAGTCTGGCAGCATTCTTTCCCACACCCATGGCTGGAGTCATTTTTTTATAAATGCCAGTTGCTGTTTGTCCAAGGCAATGAGGATGGGATTCCAAGAGTGGAAAATGTATTCAATAACCTGAAGAATTCGCTTTAATTGTGCATACTTTAAATCTGCTGAAACCCAAAATGGCTGCTTATGTTGTCACCACATTGACCAATCATGAGATAGGGGAGTGATTGCAGAATACAGCATAGCAGCAACAGCTGCACCCCCCTCCCCACACTGTAGAGCCACCAGCTTTGTACCCTACATCAAAGACCAGCAACACTACCCAAGACAGGTGTAGATTTAGCTCTAACTTTCTAGCCATCCGGGTTGCAGAGAAAAGCTTCAGAATGTGACCAGAGTTCACCTGACAGGCTCAGACCATGGGCAAAAGAAACAATCAAAATATTTTTTTAAAGTCCTAAGACTTCCAAGCCAAAAAAAAAATCAAGATTTTCCAAAGCCGTACTCACCAATGAATGCCTGTTGCTTGCAGTACCAAATCTATGACGCTTCTCTGGGATCCACAGGTTGATGAGAACCCCGTTACAACTGGTGTGGTAGCTCCATTTCTGTCAATAGCCTAACACTTTAAACTCCTGATTTATTAAAGGGATGGACATCTGCACTACAGCTCCAAAGTGCTTGATTCAAGCAATTTCTGGGAGAGGGGCAGTAGCCTCAGGTGCAGAAAGAATACCTTTTCAAATATGCTTTGGCTACACAAATCAAGCATTCCTCCTGCTGCATAAAATACAACATGGTTCTCAATCATCATCTGGAATAAAGAGCCGGGCTGTTCACATAGTGGCAGTTATTCATTTCCAGCTGCTGAACTGTATCAAAAGACAGTTAAAATACACAACATCTTTTTGCAATATTGCTTCTCCACCTAAAGCAATTCCTGTCGTTACTGGAGTGAGTGCCTACAACTGCCAGTGGGAGGAAGCGTTCTGCCTGATCATGAGCACAACGCATACAGCAAGCTGTTTTCAAATGCAGTCCAGATGACCTGAAAAGCATCCACACACGCAGACCAGGCAAGATTCCACTCAGTATAGCTAGCCACTACCTGCACCATGCAAGGAAGACAATAAAACAGATTTGCTGGTGCATCAGAGTATCTGTGCGACACCTGCGTGCACAAACACGTTTATAACCAGCTAGGGGGCAGCTGTAAATAGTCATAATATACTGATTTGTCTAGATATTTCATTTGAGGTTAACACAACATACAGAGTGTTTCATACAGCTAACAAAAAAACAGATTTGTGTCCTTTGAGCAAGGCCCAAGCCTTCTTCATACCCGACATATTCATTTCCACTCTGCTATACTTACGCTCCACATCCCCTCAGAGTGGAGTGTCACAAAGCACTCTCAACTAACCTAATTAAGATTCTACTCGGAACTGCGTCTGCAAAGTTTGCTGTGCTCCTGTGCTCTTCCCCAACTGAGTCAGCAGTTTGGATGACCGTAGATGGAGTACGTTTGGCAGCTGAAAGACCCAGATGCTAAGTTCTGAGCTATCTTTCCAGCTGCAAGATCTGGGCTTCTGTCCGACTCCTCAGCTGTTGACTGTCAAGCTGTCTCCAAGCTGCATGCCAAACACACATCTCAAAAGCTCTGACGGAAATGGAGTGAATGCTCCAAATCAGGGAGGCCTGCTGACAAAAGGGACAAGCAAGACTAAAGGTTTTAGAAGTTGGCAGTGAAGGGGGGCAAGGAAGGGAAGAAGAAACAAAAATAGCTTTGTTTCTTCCTTTTCTATTTCTTACTTTTCCACAATTGGATTTCCTTTATTTAATGATCAGAAAGGGCTGAATGAGTAGTCAGCCAAGGCACTGCACTGCATCTACAAGATGGCAAAAAACTGAATTGTCCCAGTAAATTTATGGGCAAAGAACCCCATTTCTGATTCTTTTTGGAAAGCAGTGGAAGGGGTCTTTCTCCACTTTCACCAGAGTTGACAGACCTTGTGGGAATCTTTATTAAGGGGAAGGTACAACCGGCAATTCCTTTTCAGGAGGTTCACTAATCATTTTAAGCTAACTTCCCAAATGCTTGGAAAAACGAGCTGCTGATAAAAAAAGTGGCGGAAGTTCTACAAAGCTGCCACAGCCATTTAATTTTTTCATTTACTATTTGAATTCCAAGCTTCTCAACCACTTTGATCTGGACAGGGTCACCGTGCCTGAAACCTATACCAAGGGGGCCTTCACAATGACAGCAAATGCCCTTGTGGACAAGTTCAAACCCTGTCCCGCATTGTTGACTCATGTTGATTTTCTCTGCTACCTGGTGGCCTTCAAGCTCTTCACACTGGTGATGAAAGCACCTCAAGATGACTGAAACATATGCCAAATAAATTCCAAGCTGCCAGTCTTGCCCTTATTACAGAAAGCCCACAAACAGCCTTTCCTTTAAGGGCACAACCTGAAAAGTGTATTAAAAAAAAAAGACTTATTTTGCATTGATGGCTGTTGGTCCATGTTCTCAAGCCTGGGTATTTAGGCACACAGATGAAAAGGGATGGATTTTTAGAGGTGCTGAGCACTAGCTGCTTCTCTGGACTTGTAAACATTCAGCATTACTTTCTATTTCAGTGCCTCAGTTTGGGGTTAAGAGCTCATTTTAGGCCCCACATTACAAGTTATGCCTGTTCTTTTATTTATTTGGTTCTGCCTAGTAGGGTAGTCCTAGGCCCTATGGGACACAGACCATCCACTTTCACAAGGCAGCCACCTCTACATGTCTTATTCACTTAGAGGAAAAAACATTTCAGAAATAAGCAAGCTGAACCTGCAAATGCCACTTTCAGGTTTCATGTGTACATTTTAGGCACATATGTGCACATACGGTACCTGTTAGAACTGCTGAAAAAGAAAATATCATTTTAGAGAAAAGTTTGTTTTCTCAAAATATCGCATTTACTGGTAAAAAAAAAATGGCTAAATTCATTATTAAATAGCTCATGCAGTGCTTTAAACATAAGCCTTTTGAAATTAAAAGGAAAGATGATCTTCTGATTAAAGGAGACACCATCAATTCAAATTTGGCCCAACTGTTGATTTTGTAAAAAAATAAGCTTTCACAGAACACAAGAGCAGTATAAGCGTTCCCATTTTTAATTACTAATGGAAACAGTTGTTTTGAAGCTCTCTCCCTCTCCAACATTTGCAATTCAAACACTGCAGCACTGAGATCCTTAAAGGGAACCTGACTTCCTTTACTTTGAGCACCAAGCTGAAAGAGCAAGTAAACTGTATTTAAAAAATTCTTCCAATTTTAACAACGTAACGTGTCATCAGCAAAGAGACAGGTAGAAAAGTTTATTTTCATTAGTCTTGGTTTAGTCTGATGCTGTTCTTTTTAAGGGAAATGACAAGGTAGTAAGGTGATCCAGAATGAAATCCTAGCCCTTTGTCAAGTCAATGACTTCTATTCCTGGCTCTAAAGTTTCCTGCATCTCCCCAGGGGAAAGAAACCCCTTACCTTAAATCTGCCAGCCTCAGTTTTCTTATCTGAGGAGAGGAAGCCGAGAGGCTTAGTTCTTGTGTGGAAAGAATTAAAACGCAGCTGTAAGCATTTAGATCTATAGATTGGACATGTACAAAAAACAAAAGGGATGCTAATGAATTTAGTGCTCCAGCCCTCAGCCTACCTGTTTCACAACAGTCTGAAGAAAGGTGGGCTTTGCAGCATATTCAAAATATTAACAAATCCAAACCCTGATAAGCCCAGGGGAAACAAAGCTGCAAAGCCAAGGACCCGTTACAGCAAATATCTTGCCTCAAGCACGAGTTGCTCTGCAGAGGAAAACTGTAGTACTGTGGCAAAGGAAGAGTGACTAAAAATGACCACATTTCTCTTCCAAAATGCCAGCAAATAAAACTAGGTTATGGGAGTCCAGCAAGGTCTTCACAAATGTCCTATTCTAGCTAGTTAAAACAAGTCCATGCACTTTCCAAATTCTTCAGGGCAGGAACACATTCAGTTACATGTTTGTACAGCATTTTGTACAATGACGCCCTTGATCCAGGATTGGAACCCTAGGCACTACTGCAATACAAATAATTAATATTACTTTAAACACAGTAGTACACAGCTTTATTCCAAAGAAGCTACAAACAAAAACCAAAACAAAACAAAAACAAAAACCCAAACAACCCAAGAGTAAAAACCATTTCAAAATTATTGTTTAGAAACAGGAAAGTCCTAAAAATAAATCTGCTCACAGTGCAAGTGTACCTTACTAAGAACGGCACTATCACTTAAAAGTGTCAGAACAGAATGAGCCATTGTATTTCACCCTATTTATCTTCTAAACTGCAAAAAGACTGCCACCCTGTGGACTAAAACCAAGTATATCAACCAAAAGCCAGTGCATTCCATACAGAATAACAATTTTATTTTCATGAAAATGTGGTTTTTTTACCCCGTTAATATAACAAACTGTTCAAATACATGAATTCCACTGTCATTTTGTCTGCAAAAGAAGTAAAACATCTTGCTTCTGAAAGATCAACATCTACATGAAGGCACTGTATGTGTAAAGCTTTCCAAATTACAGGAAAAATTAAGAGACTAAATCAGCTCTCAGTACAGAAACTGTTAACTAGAACAATCACTCAGTTCAGAGACAGATTATTATCTAAGTGCACAGAACAACCCATGCCGTCCTAGGAAAGGCTTGATCAAACAGCATCCACACACAAGGTGGGAACTGCAAGTGGCACATGCTTATATGGACGGCGTGACACTTCCCATCCATTGGACTTCATTTGTATTTGTAAAATCCTTCTCCAGTCTTCTTACCCAGCTTCTTCTCCTCTACTAGTTTGTTCAGCAGTGGGCTGGGAGCAAAAAGAGGATTGTCTGGCTCTGACATATACCACCCTAGTGGGAGAGAAGATGGATGAAGATTAGGGGTGTTTCTTATTATTTGCAAAGAATATGGTTTGACAGAATGTCAGGGGCACAAAGTACTCCTTCCATGGAGCAGAGATCAACTAGGATCAACCCCAGCAATTAGTTACACAGGGTGGGTTTACATGGCAGCCGATGGTGAAATAGCGACATGCTATGTTGCCGTACGGCGTGCTACAGCAACATAGCGACCATGTGTCTACACGTGCTCGCCAGCTATGTCGCCATAGTGGTGTGCTCCCCAGGTATAGTGTGCTGCTACATCACCATAGCGGCAAAATCTACATGTGCACCATGTGCACAGTGCAGTAACTACCCATACTGCACTGTGCTTTAGTACTTCCAAAAAGAAATAGTATAGCACAACACCGTAGCAATGTCACTGTATGGCAATGTGTAGTGCTCCCACAGTGTATTATACACAACACTAAAGGTGTTTACCCAGTGGTCCCTAACCAGCTGAAACACCAAGGAGAGTCTTCATAACACAAAGTAGTTAAAACAAGAGGATGAGAAAGGCAAGAGTGAAAGCAACAGTCACAATTAGAGCACTTAACCTTGAACCAAAGTTTTGACTAGGGGGAAAGCAAGTCACTGGAGTGTACTTTCTGAAAGAAAGTTTAATCTGAGGCAGACCCTTTCAAAACATCAAATGAACATGTCCAAGCCATTTAAATTCTTGTCCTCAGACAATTTATCATTATTTACTTCTCCTTCCATTAATGCAGCCCCCTATTTCTGATGAGAAAAGACAAGTCCAGGACCAACCCAGTATTCAAATATATATCAAAAAAGGAGAAAGGAAAGGCTCCTCTGCCCTAGAAATCTACCATGTACTTGAGAGCTGGTGTCATGAAAGATGTTCCTTATCTAAGCCCCTGCTACCCAAAAGCTGAAGACAAGGTATATAAACTCCAGGATCCCACAGAGATCACCTTGACAAAGCGTCTAATTTGAGACGGCCTGCAAAGGTCACCTCCATTTCCCTTATATGGTACCAGGACGTGTGTAAACTAAGGATTTTGACCCCTTTTAAGGTTTCCTCATTATTTTTCCCCTCCCCAATCTTTTCACCTCCCTACTAGGATGGTGCTTACCTTCAAATGAAGAGGACACACTCAATTCCACAGCAGATGTGTAAGTTCCCTTGTATGACTGCCTCCAGTTAATACAAACCTGCATTCAGAACACGTATGTCCCTACCATGCTGTAATTCCTGTCACATCTCTCTTTGAACCTCAGACCAGCTTTATACTTTTCAATTACTTCAAGAACTGCCACCACCACATTTTCTGGTCACTTTAGCCCTCAAGAGCTACTGACTTGCTTTTATGTAGAGTAAAATCCATTTCCCTAATTGGTACCTGACATGAGTTGCAGTTACCATATCCATTCTAAGGAGGTGGGTTTCTCTCTGCCAAATAACACATACAAACCATTTGGCAAGGCTTCTCTGACTGCTTGGGTCAGAAGGTTTCTTATTTCACTTCATGTGTACGTGTACCATTTCTCCAAGGAAATGTTAGTAACACACAAGAAAACCAGAAGTTTGGGAGGAGTTTAATAGTGAGGGACACTACTTCTCCTTGCATTCTTGATGGAGGAAAGGAACCAGTTTAGCAGATCACCTTCTTTTCCTGTTTCTGTCAACTCAAGAACACATTGTGGCCTGATCTCCACTAGAAATTCAGTACCTTTATGCCAGCAATGATCTATAATTGTGCAGCTACTGCCATGGTAGAAGTAACACTGATTACTAGGGCTCAGGTAACTGTACTAAGTCATGAAAATCTGCTCAAAGCCTGAGCCTTGGCAACATTAGCAACTTGATAGCAATGCTGCTGCACCACTGGTGGCCACTGCTACAGGAAACCAATACACCCAAAGGGAGCCTAAAAGCAGCCACTTGTCAAACTCCTTCCCTGCATCTTACATGCCTGCCTTTGAAAACACTGAGGTGTGTTGTTCCTGAGGCTGACTGATCAACCAGGACTTTCCGGGGGGGGGTCCTTAATCCTTAAATGACAAAGTCACTTAAGCTCATCTTAAAATAACTTGAGTCAGACTTGAGTGCCCACATCCACTTACAATTTAAAGAAAGAAAGAAAGAAAGAAAGAAAGAAAGAAAGAAAGAAAGAAAGAAAGAAAGAAAGAAAGAAAGAAAGAAAGAAAGAAAGAAAGAAAGAAAGAAAGAAAGAAAAACATATATGCAGTACCATCTATAATGTATTTACTGGTATCCAACCCAACATAGTCCAGCAGTTCAATTGGACCCATGGGATAGCCAGCCCCAAGTTTCATAGCAATATCGATATCTTCCTTTGATGCATCTCCTAGAAAAAAGATTGACAGTTTGATGAACAGAGAAGATTCTGCATCTACTTGCCATCACTTATAAATAATTAACACAGTGCTATTTCATGCTGTGCAGCTCTTCACAGAAGTCTTTGCACGTACTACATCCACTAAAACAGGGGTTCATAACGGATTTGCTGTATGCTTACTTCAACACTGTACGTGTGCAGTTATCAGCAGATATATAAGCTTGTAAATACTGAATGGTATAGAAAATAGCACTGACTGTCATCCTAACCATTCTCAAGGACAGATTGAGGCCAAATTCATGGACCCACACATTAGACCTATGAGAAAATTCCAGGAGCCAATTAAAATTCACAGATCCATGGGAGGTCACATGCTAAAATATGGAGACTCAGTAAGCAGAGCAGGCTCAGACAGGTGATTGTAAAATAAAGAGTACAAAGCTGGGCCTTTCCCACAGCAGTCTGCGGGCCCATTTCTCATTTTTACTGACTTTCTCTGTTGCATTACTTGTTTCAATAGAGGCTACTGGGCTGCAGTTGGAAGGAGGGCTGTGATACAAAAGATTACATCAGCCACAGTAAACTGGCAAGACAAGAGGCAGCGGCAGTCATGGCAAAAAAAGCAGAAGGTCTAATACAGGTAACTTTAATCTACTCAAGATTACAGGTAAGAAAAAAGGACAATTCAGCCTCTCAGCCCAGCAGAGAATTTTTAAGTTAAGACCAGGGCAGAATTATTGCAGCCTTCAACCAGTCTGAAGGGGAGATCGAAAGAGGCTGGAGCTAGCCTGTTCTCAGTGGTTGGAGATAACAAAACAAGGAGCAACGATCTCAAGTTGCAGCAAGGGAAGTTTAGGTTAGATGTTAGGAACAATTTTCCACTAGGAGGGTAGTAAAACACTGGAACAGGTTACCCAGAGAGATTGTGGAACCTCCATCCTTGGATGTTTTTAAGGCCTGGCTAGACAAAGCTTGGCTGGGATGATCTAGCTGGGGATGATCCTGCTTTGAGCAGGGGGTTGGACTAGATTCACAGAAGTTTAGGGCTGGAAGGGACCTCATGAACTCATGGGGTCCAGCCCTCCTGAGATGACCACCTGAGATCCCTTCCAGCTCTATGATTCTGTGATTGTAGTGAGAAGAGAAGGGGTGTCTGACAGCAAACTTCTTTTGCCAGTTGCATGAGGTAAGTGGAACATACAGTTGAAGTTAATTTATTAATATAGGATAGAAAGAGACATTGTGGGCCATTGAATTCAGTCCTCTGCTATCACAGACAAGCATGTCAGATAATCCTTTTCATAAATTGCTCAGTTTTGCAAACAAGTTACAAATAACTGAGCAAAATCTGTTCAGAGTAGGTTTTATAAAATCAAGCAAGCATGCAAACAAAAAAAATCCAAAAGAAAACCCCAAGCTTGTTCTACTGTTATTGTGTACATTTGGGGCTTTTTTAAAAGAAAGAATGTTAATTAAAATGCCAAGGTTGCGAGACATGAGGCATTTGATATATAGCTTTATAGTGTGAATCCAAGCAAAATACCTCATGTGGTGTCAAAAGAGGAAAGCAGAGCAGAACTCATGGTGCTCAGGTCAGGTCCCAGAGGACTGGAAAAGGGCCAATGTGGTCCCTATTTTCAAGAAGGGGAGGAAGGAGTTTCTGGGTAATTATAGACCAGTTAGTCTCACCTCTATCCTTGGGAAAATCTTTGAAAAAATTATCAAAGATCACATTTGTGGGAGCCCAGCAGGAAAAATAATGCTGAAGGGCAAGCATCACAGGTTCATAGCAGGTAGATCCTGCCTGACTAACCTTGTTTCTTTTTATGACTGGGTCACAAAATGCTTAGATGCAGAAGTTGAGGCAGATATCATCTACTTGGATTTCATGAAGGCCTTCAATATGATATCTCATCCTGTTCTCATAAACAAACTGAGCTGCTGTTACATAGGTGATTACACAGTCAGATGGGTGGCAAATTGGTTAAGGGTCACACCCAGAGAGTGGTGGTGGACGGATCAGTATCAACCTGGAAAGATGTGGGCAGTGGGGTCCCCCAAGGCTTGGTCCTTGGATCTGTGCTATTCAATGTCTTCATCAGCGATTTAGATAAAGGTGTGTAGAGCACTCTGTCCAAATTCGTGAATGACACAAAATGATGGGGTAAAGTTAACACACTAGTGGAAAGGGACTGAATCCAGGTGAACCTGGACAGGTTGGAAAAGTGGGCGGAAAAGAATAGGATGACGTTCAACAAAGGCAAGTGCAAAGTGATACGTCTAGGGAGAAGGAATCACCAACACACCTATAGGCCAGGGGATGACCTTCTCAGCAGCACAGCAGCAGAAAGGGATCTCAGAGTCATAGCTGACTCCAAGATGAATATGTGATTAAGTAATCAGTAAAGCTAACTACACTCCGTCATGCATTAGCAAGTGCAGCATGAATAGGTTAGGTCCAGGGAAGTGATACTTCCCCCCTCTATGCAGCATTGGTCAGGCCGCAGTTGGAGTACTGCGTCCAGTTCTGGGCACCAAACTTTAAGAGGGATGTGGATAACCATGAGAGGGTCCACAGGAAGACCACTTGTATGGTTAGGGGTCTGCAGGTAAGGCCTTATGAGGAGAGATTGAGGGACCTGGATCTCTTCAGCCTCTGCAAGAGAAGGCTGAGAGGGGATCTTGTGGCCATTTACAAATTAATCAGGGGTGGGGGGGAGCAAGAAATAGGAGATACTCTGCTTACCAGGGCACCCCTTGGAATAACCAGGAACAACAGCCACAAACTGAGAGCGCAAATTTAGGTTAGACATCAGGAAGAACTTCTTTATGGTAAGGGTTGCCAGAATCTGGAATGGGCTTTCAAGGGAGGTGGTACTCTCCCCTACCTTGGGGGGGTCTTTTAAGAGGAGACTGGACAAGCACCTGGCTTGGGTCATATGACTCCAGTGCTCTTTCCTGCTCAGGGCAGGGGGTCAGACTTGATGATCTATTGAGGTCCCTTCCAACCCTAACAACTATGAAACAATGAGAATAAGTGGGCCAACAACAATAATAGTGTCCATTGGGATAGCCAACAAGGACTCTTCCTGAATTAAATGGGAATCTTTCCATCAACTTCCAAATACAATGGATCAAGCTCAAAGCTAAACAAAACGTAAAGGTCCTGATCTTGTGAAATGCAAAATGCCCTATACTCCCAATGAGGCTGATGGGAATTTGGAGTGCTCTGCAGCCTGTAGGTTTCGTTCTTACTCATTCATTCCAACTGCACAATGCTCTGTAATAATCAGGTTGAAAAGTTTGGGATTAGTGTCTGACTTCTGAAATAGGGTAAGACTAACCTGTAGGTTTCATGAAGAGAAAGTGAAATTTTGGCAGCTGCTTAATTTCAACCCAAATTCCATTCTCTCGACTGAACACAACACAAAAGTAAATGGTGGAAGCTGACGAAATTACTTCTACATAGATTAGCATGTCCATTTCCTTTGTTCTCTTAGTCATTTTACTACCTGACCACATACAGAAATGTAAGGTTCGTAACTGCAGGAGTACTCCCTGTCCTATGAATGAACTAAATAAATTAGTACTGTGATTAGAAGGGTAACAGTGGGCAGGTCTACACAAGACACTAACTGCGCAGTAGCCTAATACTATGACACAGTAGCATGCACAGAAAAAAACATGCTAAAACGCTACTGTGCCATAGCATTAGGCTACCAATAGAATTCTACATGAGCCAGCCTAACTTACTGGAGTTCTTGGTTTTTCAGTACAAAGACTGCCACCTAAAATGCTCATAATAAAGCACCTATTTAAATAATTGTTTACATTGTCTCATTAGTGGAATTAATCCTATGCAAAACTAGAAATGGATCAGGGTCTTTAAATCAATGAGTACTCTGAATGATTTAGGAATACAAGGATTGACCCTTTTCATGCTTAATATAGTCAGGAACATACCCTAGATTCTCCACTATGCTGAGGATCACCACAAAGGTTATGATACGATTAACTATTTAATATGCGGCTACAGAGAATCTAAGTCAAACGATGGCATGATGTCAACCAACTTCCTAAACTGACTTTTTAAACAGTTAAAAATCTATTAATAAATGTTAACGAGCCTAGGCAATTTGTAATCTTCAACCAAAAAAAGGCCAAACAGAAGAGAGCTGAAATCAAAATACTGCTGTTTTAACAAAGCAGAGCAGATTTTAATATACATTGTGTGTCATTTTTTTCTTTAAATCTAAAATATCTGCTGTCTCCTGAAGTATATATCATTTAACAAAGGCATCTCCTTAACACACGAGAACACCCACATACTGTATTCCAAATTGTGATATTTTAGCAGAAGAAAAAGTCCCCCCTCACCCAATCCTTTGCCTTTCAAGTCACTTTAATTTGCTCTATTCTCCCTTTGAGATGTAATTAGGTACATTTGTTGATGGATAAACAAGTAGTGTTGATTTAAATGCTTCCTGCAGATCAAACCATCACTTCCATAAACTATAAAAGGGGATTTTTAATATTTAAAGCATATTTGCTGCAATCCTGATAATGGAGTGCTTTCATCTAAGAGGAAATGGTGCTTTCAAAAACAAAACATTTGAAACGATATTTTTAATAACATGAAGCTATGAACAGAATGCCAGAAATAAGAACAATTACCCTCACTAACTTGCTCTTTATCCATACATGTTGCTAGCTTTTTTCTCTTAAAAAAGAAAAAAAAATCAATTTATGTTTTTAAAGTTAACTGGGTCTGACTCCAGAAATACATTTTTCCTCTTACCCCCCTGAATCCAATTACAAAACAACAAGCCCTACCACAGAAGTTCCCAAAGCACTAAGACTAGGGGATGGGGCAGAAAATAAGCTGGAAGGGTTTCTAGCCCAATAACCTCTTCCCATCACTTCTACACCTTCAGCACTTCCTGAACCCCAAGAAAAGTGCCACAAGCAATTAGAATTGATAACTCGGCATCAAAGATCACTTAGCCTTTAGAAATGAGGATGGGAAGTCCTTTCAGCTGCATTTATTGGCTAATACTTGACATGATCCCAAGCCCCTTTTTATCATTACACCAATACTTAAGAAAGCAAAGGCCTGTAAGAATCCCAGCATGTCTAGCAGAGTAACGTTTCAACAGCCCCTGAAGTAAATGCCACTGACAAATACCTCTCTCATAAAGCCGGACTGCTTCCATCAGGTATGGCACTAGGAGACGGTTTACAATAAATCCAGGAGTATCCTGTAAGAAAAATTGAGATCTAAGAAAGACAGGCAAGGATTTTTGTGAGTAATATCTTTTGTTGGACCACCTGCATAGTTGGGATAGATTCACATAGGCTTTTGGGCACAAGGTGCCCTTATTCAGGTCTGAGAAGGAAGCCAACGCAGCTTGAGCTGAATAATAGATAGAACAATGGCCTGCATAAAAGTCCACATGTAAATAAAAACAGTCTGCTTAGAAAAGCAGGGCTGTAAAATAGGAGAAGAGGGACAGAAAAATTCTAAATAAGTCATCTGTACCAGCAAAATTGTACTGCAAATTTAATAGAATAGAGATGCAAGTTTCACTTTGTTCTGGATGGCCCTTTTCCTCCCTATGTGATTTACTCCACTGTTTTTGTGAAATGGGGAGCAGTGAGCAGGCATGACTGATGAACATAAAGCTGCCTCACTCCAGCCCTTCAGTCACTTTAAACAATGCAATTTTGCTTCTTAGAAAATATCTACCATTTAGAAAAATTCTGCCAATAGTGATTTGGGGGTTCTTAAGGAAGAGAAATTCTTCCTAGTATATTTCTTACTAGAGATGTGCCTGCTCTTGCTGTTTATTCAAATTTCTAGGACAGCATAATCACTTCAACAGTGAACACCAATGCCACAAGCATATGATGGCAATCTGGGATGAGGAAGGCACCAGAAGCTAGTTAACTCCTATGCAATAACGATCGTGCTTTAATGTAAGCTTCTATAATAATCAAAAATGCAGACACAAGATCAGGAATACTGATAAGAAAGAGAACATAAAAAATATGGAGTACTACATATCCTAGGCTTATTAAATATGCTGCCACCATTCTCAGATAGTTATATTTAATACCACTATCTAATCTAATACTACTCTGCAGAACTCAAAGCATTTTCCAAAGAGCAGCGAACACAGTATAACCTGGATTTCTGATGTCCAGGTGGCATGCAACCTGCTTAGTTTGTGGTGGGTTGTTGAATTAAGAATGAGCCACTCCAGCTCAGCTGCTGCCTGCTGCAGCTTTTCCTTCAAAGGGTGCTGCTTCTCCAATCAGCTGGAGCACAGCCACAGTCTGCACAATTAATCGGAGAAGTGGTGCCCTTTGAAATAAGAGCCACAGCAAACAGCTGGTACATTTGCACAGTCCCATGCAGCTGTTTGCTGCAGCTATATATATTTCTGGCTAGACTGACAACTAGACTGTATTGTAGTACAAACTGATTTTGTGGCTGAGGAAAATTAAATTATAGAGGGGTGAAACAACTGGCCTAAGGTCATACTTCCAGAGGCCTTCGTTCATGGAACACAAAGTCTTTTATAAACAATGTAGATAAAGAAGGCAGATTCAGCAAGGATTGTCCACACTTGAGAGTGGAAAACTGAAACATTTTAAAACATGCCAGGACTGCAAAGTGATTCTGTGGTACAGATGGAAATAGCATGTCCTGAAAGTTTGACTACCATTAATTACTAGACAATGATTCCCCTAACCTCCTGGCCCCCAGAAGTGCTCTATAGCAGCTGTTCCCAAACTGTGGGTGTCACAACCCCAAACAGGGTTGCAACAACAGCAGATGGGCTCACAATAAATATGTCCTCTATTTCTGCACCCACAGTGGGGTGCAGCTGGGCCAGACCAACTCTAGGCAGGAGCCGCCACTGCAGCCCAGTGGGTGGGACCCGCTGTGAAAGGGAGTGATGCACCACCATGGCCACCAAGGTGAGGCACGGCAGCAGGTGCAGCAGCGCAGAGTTATGCCCACGCTGTTGCTGGGTGAGCAGGGGTCACCTTAGCTTGGCAACCATGGCTGCACAGCGTGGCACCCCCTCCCTCCTGTGTCAGGTCCTGGCCACTGGGCTGCAGAGTACCTTGGTGGTGGGATGGCAGCAGGGCAGGGAGCCCCAAGCCTGCAGCAGGCAGCACCGCATCTCCGCCCCACTCCCCCAGGCTCTGCTCCGGCTGTGCTGCCCGCAGGGGAGGGGATTGGGCAGGGTTGGGGGTGGGCACCAGGCTCTGCACTCTGCTTTGACTGCAACAGCTACTGCCTCCCGCCAACAGCCTTGGGCGCTGCTGAGTGGGGGGGAGTGAGGGGCACTGGCAGGGCCAGGGGGCTGTGGGTGGGGACTCAGGGGCACCTGGGGTTGTGCGGTGCTGCGGGTTGGGAATGAGAGGCCATGCTGAGGAAATGGGGTCATGCTGAGGAAAACTTTGGGAAGCACTGTCCTAGAGGCAAGGGACAAAATCTGTGGCAAGAAGCAGTGACAACTAATACTGGTCTTACTCCTGTAGAAGTGGAACAATATACATCCACAGTACAGAACCAAACTGCAACACAACACACAGCCTGGTTGTGCCTCAAGGTTTGGAAGAAAGGAAGCCTGGATTCCATAGGAAAGGCTTTCTGCTCCTTTGGAGAGACTAGTACTGGAGTGAACTGGGGCAGCAAATGATAATCTCTGATCTGCACTTAGTTTGCCATTTTCCAAAAGACAGCCAGAGCCACTCCATTCAAAGGAGAATATGACAGATTTGGAGCCTCTCTTTCTTCCACTGACTTTTTTTTTTTAATAAAGCAAAATGTTCCCTTCAATAGGGCTGTTTCATGGGAAAGCACAATCTGGGCCAGAAGCAGAGCAGAAAATTGTCCCTGTGTTCATATGCTATGAGTTTATGTGGAAACGCACCACCTGAATGATGAAGAGTTTTCATAATGAGCACACTTGAACTCTTCTGATTATTGCACATCACTCCTTCTGCTGGATCTACTTGCCTTGCAAGATACTGCAGTCTTTCCCAGTACTTTGGTGAAATCCATGAGCGACTCAAAAGTCTTTTGGCTGGTCATTGGTGTCTTGACAATCTAACAAAAGAACCAACATATTCAGCTAGAACATCAGATTCTCTGTCACCTCCTGCTGTACCAGTGATTAGATTGACAATTCAGGATGTTCTCTGGAACAGTCACACTAAACTAATCAGTGATACATGGAATGAACACAAAATCCTAATTTAAAGCACACTCCACATCTTGAAATCAAAATGTTCTGGTTAGAGTTAGTCGCTCACCTGGCTTAAAGCATAGAGCCCATCTCTTTACAACTCTATTGCAAAAGTTACTCTACAGACAGTGTAAAAACCTTCAGAAATCACAGCCCCTGCTAGCTTGGGAAACATGCTGACAACATTTGAGATCCCCATTTATACATAGCTCTTGATAGAAAGGGTGTAACCCGGTTTCTGTAGCCAGCGTAAACAGGAGGACAGACACAGATACTGTATTATATCAACACTTGCATTCTAAAAAGCATCCTAATTTAGTAATTTCCATTTTTCAAAACTTTATGACCCTTTTAGAAGCATGAGAGTAAAAAAGGCCCCAAATTATTTTCCTTGGCAATTAGGTCTTCTCCATATGGAAAACATGGATTTTTCTAAAGACTTCAATGCACCCTGAATTCAGTATGGTATTTTTTTGCTTAAAACTTACCAGAAATAATAACTAACATAACTCTGCAAACAAAACCTGTGGATTAGCTTGAGCTCCCAATGCTGTAACTTGAGAATTCCTACATAAACTGTGAAGAGTAAATTACATCATCATGACATGCCATGGCAGTGGAACTGAGTCTCTTAAACAGAGATGACTAATGGTAAGGCCAACAAAGATACAGTAAGAACCAGGCACCTGAAAAATTGTTTCTAAGCAGTAAAGTGGCAAAATGTCTGATTTGAAGTTAGATCTAAAGTGTCTGGGACTTTCACATGAGATTGTAGCCATTTCAGGGAAGGTCAAATTTGTTTTACCTCTCATGATTTTGAAGTCTAAAGCTTGAAGGATTTCAGATCGTCAAAGGATATATTCCCCAACCTTTGGCTCTCTTCTTACTAGGAAGAGAGCATTGGAGACTTAGGCAGATAAGAGATTCAGCAGAAAGTTTTTGCACAGACTACACAGAAACTAGTCCCTCTGAGCAGTCTTAAAGGGGATTTGTAACAGATTTTACTCAGCATCACAAATCTCTTTAGAATGCAGTTGTAACCCCTGACTTGGTACAGCACGTCCAGAATTCCAACTGCTTATCCCTAAAGGCTTATTAGTGAGAAGGGGTCAAATGCGCATCGTACTGCAGAATCTGAAAAGAGGTCTAAGTAATTTTTGTTCAGTGCTAACACCTAGTGCAGTGGCACAAATATGTGCTTTCCAGATACAGTGTCATTTATCTAGACATTCTGTTCTCAGTTCCCTCCTTTTCTTTCCCAAATAATCTTCAGTTCTCCAATAGCAGATCAGACAATTCAAGTAGATTTCTGTGTTAGAACTGCAATAGGCTTCTCAGGCTTTTGTTCATCTGAGGTAGGGACACTAAATGAAGTTGACCGTATGAGGTCGTTTAAGGAAAACAAAATCTTTAAAAACCACAAGATCATCATCTCTGTTTGGACAATAAAGATCCCAAGACACTTTTGAAAAAAGCAAGGCTTCCTTACAGGGTCTTTGACCAAAATATGCACACCTTTCAACGACCATATTTACTTAAATACAAAATGATCTCCCTCCCCATAATTAGATTCTATATATGGATAATTTATATATTTGTTATAATTTTCCATGTACAGAATCTAATTATTGGATGTTTGCCTTGAATTTGTTCCCCTCCCACTGCTACAGCAGGGAAAATAAATCTGGGGGGTCAGGTAGCTCTTTGCTCTCTGCTTCCCCTCAACTTTTCCCCTGACAGCCCCTTCTCCCTCCCCTTACTGCCAGTCCCTGCTCTCCCTCAACAGGTGGAAATAAGGAGCAAATTTGAAAACAATAAACTTGAAATTAAACATGGCTACAGGAATTTGAAAATAGTACCCACTATCTGATGGCCCCGGGAGCATGGAAAGAATGGGGGGGACAAGCCAGGCCAAAAAATGTCCCCCTCTGACCTCATATCCAGCTGCTTGGGCATGTATGTAGTAGAGCACATTGCTGGGAACATAAGGGCTGCCAAAGAGCAGGGAGTGGTCATAGCTGGGTGCCACTTGCCTGTGGGACATGAGGGTGCCCAGTAGGAAGAGGAGCAATTGCGTACCTCCTGTCACACGGGCTGGCCACTATGTCACTGTGGTGAAGAATCACTGGTATAGAGAGACTCTGAGGTGTTTTTATATTTGAAAAATGTTGTTTTTAGAAAATTCAGATGGACAGATGATTTCAGAAGGGAATTCCTGTCTTATCCCTATTCTTACTGTGTAAGCATCACAGGTAAAAAAAATTACTTATTGCTTGGTTGTTATTTTTTGGTGGAAAAGGGAGAAAGAAAACCATCAGTTTCATTATAACACAACAATCATTTTTCACATGCTCTTGTATACGCCTACAAGATTATACTCTGAACAGCAATGCAAATTCATGTTATAGCAAACCACGCATATATACATGTCCTTACATGAAGGTCAATTACATTATTTTAAAGACATATTTCATGCATTACGAAATTGAGAAAAAACCTAAGCTTGGCATCAGAACTATTTCAAAATCTACAGACAATTCACCTGGATCATTGCAAAAGCATAGCCTGTAAAGAATCCTAAGGATTGGGTTAGGACATTCTGAAGTTCTCCAAAAATGGGTTAGGGGACTGACAAGATTATGAAACCCTTCACCTCTATAATGTTAATTTATATCCAACCCAGGCTTGTGGTTAACATTTCTTTTCCAGTTGTCTGCATTTATTTCTCCTGCTTCAGCAAGCATGGGTAGTCTCTGTACAGTTCTTATCAGGTAGCCTCCCATGTGGCTAAAACCATCATCATAGTCAAAATGTGTACCTGCAGTTTCAGCATAGAGACCAATCAACCTTAGAATCTTAATAGTTAGAGATCAAGGAAAATTTCCTAACTAGTTCTAATTTCCTGACTAACTAGTCTATCATCTGCCTCACCTTCTTATCCTTAGAGATAACTTATCCTGGCCAAAAGGGCTGCATGCTGGGATACATTCTGCAACACTATAATTTTTTTTAGAGTACTGTAAGACACTTACCTCTACAAGCTTCATTACAGGCACTGGATTAAAGAAATGGAGGCCACTAAACCGGTCCTGCCTGGTAGTAGAGTTGGCCAACTGTGTGATTTGTAAGGATGAAGTATTGCTTGCAAATATGGTATGTCTGGTAGGGAAAAAAGCATGGATTGTGTGAATGACATCTATCTTTCTGAGAGCAAAGAGGCCTGTACTCTATACAAACTTACTATGGGTAATCTTTTTTTTGAGTTAGTCTTTGAAGTAACCCCACACTGGGCCTTTTGTTGATTTTCTCCATAATGTATTTCAAAATTCGCACCCCCTTCCTCCCCCCACACACGCAGAGACACCAATTACTAATGGTTAAGCTTGCTGTTGGAAAGGCGATGTGAATTCTTGACCCCAGGAATAATATACTGGGCACATCACTGAATCAAGAAAAGATGAGCTATCTTTCTCCCCATCTCAGGAAAATCACATTCAAGATAAAGACACGAAGTTTGGCTTCCAGCACTGTCAAGAAATAAAGGACTACTATATTCACTACATTGACCTAGGATTTTTTATTAAATTTTATACAAGAGAATAAAGCCACTGGCACAAATATTTTTTCATGACATTTGCAACTTGTCACAAATGTGCTCTGAGGACTTCTTGACAGAGGGTCTTACGTATATTTAGAACATCTGTATATATGCATCTAATAACATACACATATATTAGATGCATGTATATCGCAAATGTCTTATTTTAGTCTTTATACATGTCCATCTTGCATATGGTTTCTTATACAAAACATTTGTGACCATGATATATACATATTTACTCGGTTCTAAGATGAGAGCCCCCATGTAACATGGGGGAGCCCCTTGTCTTAAAATCGAGCACGAGGTTGGAGTGGGGGCAAGTGAATGCTGCGGCTCAAGCTCCAGCCCCTATCCGGGATCAGGGCTATAGCTGCAGCTGCTGCCTGCCCCCCTCCCCCTACCATCTCCTCCCTCATACAGCCTCTTCTCCCCCTCTTGCCCTTGCTCTGCACTGGCAAACACCGAGTATGGCCCCAGTCTGGCTCTGCAGCAGCAGTGCACAACCCATAGGGCTGCTACAGGGGCTGAGCTGGGCCATGCTTAATGCCCCAGGCTAGAGCAGGGATGGAGCCTCCTGGCACAGAGCAAGGGTAAGAGGAGAGGAGGGCAGAGGCTGGGGGGCCGGCACAAGCTATCTCCCTGCAGTGGTGGAGGGGATTAATTAAAAACAACCTCTAATAATTAGATTCTATGCATGGAAAATTATAACAAATTTATAAATTTTTCATGTCTTGAATCTAATTATGAGGGGTCATTTTAAATTCAGGGTCTTCTTAGATTCACATAACTATGGCATATGTTACATGTTAAATGTGCTCTAAGGCCTTCCTGACGCTATATACATTTAGAACATTGCTATATATGCATGAGAGAGAGAGAGAGAGAGAGAGAGCGTGTAAAATTTGGAAGCATATATAACAATGTTCCCAATGTATATAGGGCCCTCAGTCAACAAGGCCTCAGAGCACTTTTAACTCATAACAGCACTAGTTACAAATTGGAAACTCTAAGGCAGAAAATAATTAAATAGGTTTGTGGGACATGAGGGTGCCCAGTAGGAAGAGGAGCAATTGCGTACCTCCTGTCACACGGGCTGGCCACTATGTCACTGTGGTGAAGAATCACTGGTATAGAGAGACTCTGAGGTGTTTTTATATTTGAAAAATGTTGTTTTTAGAAAATTCAGATGGACAGATGATTTCAGAAGGGAATTCCTGTCTTATCCCTATTCTTACTGTGTAAGCATCACAGGTAAAAAAAATTACTTATTGCTTGGTTGTTATTTTTTGGTGGAAAAGGGAGAAAGAAAACCATCAGTTTCATTATAACACAACAATCATTTTTCACATGCTCTTGTATACGCCTACAAGATTATACTCTGAACAGCAATGCAAATTCATGTTATAGCAAACCACGCATATATACATGTCCTTACATGAAGGTCAATTACATTATTTTAAAGACATATTTCATGCATTACGAAATTGAGAAAAAACCTAAGCTTGGCATCAGAACTATTTCAAAATCTACAGACAATTCACCTGGATCATTGCAAAAGCATAGCCTGTAAAGAATCCTAAGGATTGGGTTAGGACATTCTGAAGTTCTCCAAAAATGGGTTAGGGGACTGACAAGATTATGAAACCCTTCACCTCTATAATGTTAATTTATATCCAACCCAGGCTTGTGGTTAACATTTCTTTTCCAGTTGTCTGCATTTATTTCTCCTGCTTCAGCAAGCATGGGTAGTCTCTGTACAGTTCTTATCAGGTAGCCTCCCATGTGGCTAAAACCATCATCATAGTCAAAATGTGTACCTGCAGTTTCAGCATAGAGACCAATCAACCTTAGAATCTTAATAGTTAGAGATCAAGGAAAATTTCCTAACTAGTTCTAATTTCCTGACTAACTAGTCTATCATCTGCCTCACCTTCTTATCCTTAGAGATAACTTATCCTGGCCAAAAGGGCTGCATGCTGGGATACATTCTGCAACACTATAATTTTTTTTAGAGTACTGTAAGACACTTACCTCTACAAGCTTCATTACAGGCACTGGATTAAAGAAATGGAGGCCACTAAACCGGTCCTGCCTGGTAGTAGAGTTGGCCAACTGTGTGATTTGTAAGGATGAAGTATTGCTTGCAAATATGGTATGTCTGGTAGGGAAAAAAGCATGGATTGTGTGAATGACATCTATCTTTCTGAGAGCAAAGAGGCCTGTACTCTATACAAACTTACTATGGGTAATCTTTTTTTTGAGTTAGTCTTTGAAGTAACCCCACACTGGGCCTTTTGTTGATTTTCTCCATAATGTATTTCAAAATTCGCACCCCCTTCCTCCCCCCACACACGCAGAGACACCAATTACTAATGGTTAAGCTTGCTGTTGGAAAGGCGATGTGAATTCTTGACCCCAGGAATAATATACTGGGCACATCACTGAATCAAGAAAAGATGAGCTATCTTTCTCCCCATCTCAGGAAAATCACATTCAAGATAAAGACACGAAGTTTGGCTTCCAGCACTGTCAAGAAATAAAGGACTACTATATTCACTACATTGACCTAGGATTTTTTATTAAATTTTATACAAGAGAATAAAGCCACTGGCACAAATATTTTTTCATGACATTTGCAACTTGTCACAAATGTGCTCTGAGGACTTCTTGACAGAGGGTCTTACGTATATTTAGAACATCTGTATATATGCATCTAATAACATACACATATATTAGATGCATGTATATCGCAAATGTCTTATTTTAGTCTTTATACATGTCCATCTTGCATATGGTTTCTTATACAAAACATTTGTGACCATGATATATACATATTTACTCGGTTCTAAGATGAGAGCCCCCATGTAACATGGGGGAGCCCCTTGTCTTAAAATCGAGCACGAGGTTGGAGTGGGGGCAAGTGAATGCTGCGGCTCAAGCTCCAGCCCCTATCCGGGATCAGGGCTATAGCTGCAGCTGCTGCCTGCCCCCCTCCCCCTACCATCTCCTCCCTCATACAGCCTCTTCTCCCCCTCTTGCCCTTGCTCTGCACTGGCAAACACCGAGTATGGCCCCAGTCTGGCTCTGCAGCAGCAGTGCACAACCCATAGGGCTGCTACAGGGGCTGAGCTGGGCCATGCTTAATGCCCCAGGCTAGAGCAGGGATGGAGCCTCCTGGCACAGAGCAAGGGTAAGAGGAGAGGAGGGCAGAGGCTGGGGGGCCGGCACAAGCTATCTCCCTGCAGTGGTGGAGGGGATTAATTAAAAACAACCTCTAATAATTAGATTCTATGCATGGAAAATTATAACAAATTTATAAATTTTTCATGTCTTGAATCTAATTATGAGGGGTCATTTTAAATTCAGGGTCTTCTTAGATTCACATAACTATGGCATATGTTACATGTTAAATGTGCTCTAAGGCCTTCCTGACGCTATATACATTTAGAACATTGCTATATATGCATGAGAGAGAGAGAGAGAGAGAGAGAGCGTGTAAAATTTGGAAGCATATATAACAATGTTCCCAATGTATATAGGGCCCTCAGTCAACAAGGCCTCAGAGCACTTTTAACTCATAACAGCACTAGTTACAAATTGGAAACTCTAAGGCAGAAAATAATTAAATAGGTTGGTCTGCACCACACAGTCACAAAGACTCCCTTCCAGACAATATCCTATTAGGTCAGGCAAGCATTATTATGCAATTACATTTAATGAAATATAAACCAAATTCCAGGACAGGTAAGAGTTTTGAGGAAATTGTCCCCCCAGCTCCCGAGTCAAAAGAGCACGTTGGATTTTAGGGAGGAATTAAGCCACCCCCCCAAACCTCCAAATAAACTG